CACACACACACACACACACACACACACACACACACACACACACACACACACACACACACACACACACACACACACACACACACACACACACCCACACACACACACACACACACACACACACACACACACACACACACACACACACACACACACACACACACACACACACACACACACACACACACACACACACACACACACACACACACACACACACACACACACACACACACACACACACACACACACTAGTATTTCGCCGGAGACACACAGGTCAAAATGACAGCAAACAGGTTGTCTAATTATGTTTCTGTTACACTAAACACAGCCAGTATTTTATACACTATGCACACTGACACACACACGCTGCCACACACATGTTTTTTTTTTCCTTCCAGCATGGCTGTGTTTATTTGAGTCTGTGTCCTGATGGGAAATGTGACTGCTACACAAACAAACTGAACGGCCTAGAACAGACAACTCTGTCTGAGAGAGAGTGTGTGTGTGTGTGTCGGGGGGGTAGTGAATATCAGTACATCTTCCCCTTTTTCCATCATACACACACCAAAAATAAAGCAATTTTCAGGTTTTCCATAAGGGACTGTGTATAGGAGAATAACAGGCTACAGAAGAGCATCCTCATCTAACAGCTCCAGTTAGAGGGATGTCTGCAGGTCTATGAGTTCAGACTGCTCTTAACCATACTGCTGTATTTCTTTTGTAAAGGCTGCTGAAGCACTCAATAGCCTTCAGTGGCATTTACCTTGCCTGTAGTGTCGTCTGTCTAAGGCAAATCTTCAACATCAGCAAATAAAGACATGAAGCAAACAGGACACTCACGATGAATAGACAGCACTCAAACTATAGGCATTATGGAATTATCTGAAGGTCAAATCGACACATATCAAATACAAATATTTTTTAACTAAATCCTTTGAATTAATCTGTAACAACGATATGTACTGTGTGGGACATTTGACTAAGTAACACCTTGCATCAAAAACTAACAAAGGTCTATATATAAGGTCCACATAATAAACTGTATAAAATACATTAAAGGAAATTTGAAGGGATGCTCTTATGAGTTTTTTAGTAAGTGCAAAATAAATATGGCAAGAATTCAGACAACAGTTCAGCTAAGGAACAACACACACACACACACACACACACACACACACACACACACACACACACACACACACACACACACACACACACACACACACACACACACACACACACACACACACACACACACACACACACACACACACACACACACACACACACACACACACACACACACCACACACACACACACCACACACACACACACACACACACACACACACACACACACACACACACACACACACACACACACACACACACACACACACACACACACAACACACACACACACACACACCACACACACACACACACACACACACACACACACACACACACACACACACACACACACACACACACACACACACACACACACACACACACACACACAAATTTCCTGTAGCGGATATAAAGTGATGTTGAATTAAAAGCACGGAAAATACGTTCGATTCATGCTTTAATTTCCTTACAAAACACACACACACGGAGAGAACATCGCACATAATTAGGTACACGAGAAGTGGAAAAGCGCACACACAGCAGCGCAGATGCACATGTACACTGACACGCATCAATTTACAGAAAGAGGGGAGAAAGGAAATAGAACACAAAGTAATGAGAACTTTATGGAAATAAAGCTGCGTGTGTGACTGTGTGTGTAGTGTGTGTCTTTTTAAACATAATTAGCTCCGTCGGGCAGAAATGTAAACGAGAGAAACTTTAATGAAACTCTTCTCTGATCTGCTGAAAGCACACATTCCCGTTTATCTCTCTCAGTTTGTCTCTCTATTTTCTCGGTCTGTCTCTCTACTCAAACAGAATTGAATGTCACGCATGGGACTTTTAAAACCCCCAAAGGTTCACATTTCAGTATTGCATTATTACCACATAAGATGAACACAATTAGATTGTGTTTGTAAGGTCGCATGCTCATCTCATCTCCCTGCTCGGGTCCATTTATCTACTCTGCTTTGCTGTCCTTGAGCTGGAATTCCCTTTGAAAACGCAGTCTGGAATTTATTAGATGATCTAAGTTTTGGGTCGATTCACATATGTTTGGATATCTTCACATGCGTTCACATATGTTTGGCTCACAGGCAGACCTTTCTCAGCCTTACTTAACTCGAAAAACCACCATTACTCAAAGCCTGCCTCATTCCATTTATAAACTGAAATGTTAACAAAGCTTTTACTTTTATTTCATCTCCAACCCTAATATGCTTTCCATCCTTGCCTCATACAGTCAGTCAAAACATCAGAAAATGGTTTTTTTCAATGTAATAAATCTTTATGAATACAAAGGCTATAGCAGTGCAATGTCTCAACAAGGTAACACCGGGCAGGAATTATAGATCAGGCCTTCCAAAAGAAAATATGCTCTCCTCTCTACAAACCAAAACGCCTCCTATATGAGAATACTACTAATTCAGATTGTGCTCACTGAGTGTGTATGTGTGTGTGTATGTGTATGTGTATGTGTATGTGTGTGTGTGTGTGTGTGTGTGTGTGTGTGTGTGCGCGTGTGTGTGTGTGCGTGTGCGTGTGTAAGACACCTGAAAGCTTGTGTGTGCAAGACGTGTGAGCTGTGTATCGATCACTGTGTATCAGGTGAGTTGTCCTTTGAGAGAAATAAGGAAAATAAAAGAAAACTAATGAAAATAAAAAAGGGGAGAGACGGGTCGATGCCAAGGAGAAAGAAAAAAAGATTCTGAAGACACACACACAAGTGCAAAACCACACACACACAAGCACATAAGAAGAACACACACACTCACAACCTAAGTGTTTGGATGAAATATCACTTGGGCCTTTTGTTTCTGCTTTTTGTCTCCTTTTAATCCTTCGCTCCATCCCTACTAACCCATTCCCTACATCCCTCCATCATTGCTCTTCCTTCAGCCCTCTCTCCTGCTCCCTCTCTGCTGCTCACTTGCCATTTACAAAGAGCCAATTTGTATTTTGGGCGGATTTACCTTTTGTAATTCAGACTCGGCCCTGTTGCGTCAAAGGCTGCATTTTGAATTGGAGCAAAAGTCTGTGTGTGTGTGCTATGTGTGTTCTTAGGTCTGTGTGTGTGTGCTATGTGTGTGCTTAGGTGTGTGTGTGTGTGTGATTGTGTGTACTAAGCTGTTTTGGATGATCCTTTGCATTAGTGCCCCTCCCTTACCCTTCCCAGTGATGATTCAACCTCAGCCTGTGTGCGTGTGGTTTTATACGCGTTTCAGACGTGTCAGCTCATGCCATGGAAACTGAGAATAAATATTGTCAAGTGAGGGGGGAGAGGGAGAAATATAGTAGCAAAGGTAATATATAATGAGGCAATTTAAGTAATAATTCATGTGTAGCATCTATAATGAATTATTAAATAGTTTTTCTTTCCTCCCTGTCTCTCTTTATTCTCCCTACCTTCAAACACTCACCACCTGTCTCACTAAACACAAATCATTTCGATACATACAGTCTACATGGACCCTGGCGGACATGGGTGTACCATTACAAACTCCATATGCAGCCATACATTGTTTGAACTGACATAAATATACTTTGAATTTTAGAGGCAACCCTAGAGTTCCCAGAGATAAGAAAATATTGGTATCTGAATTCTGGGGAAATGTTTAAATTCCCATTTAATTGCAGCGCAACTCCTTAAAAACATTTTTGTTGGACTACTTTTTTCTCACTGTAAACGTCATATAGTTTCAATGAAATAATATTCTGTGCGGCCTTTTTTTTGCTTGTCTATTCATTCCGTTTAAACACAATATTTTTTGGGGTGATAATGTAAAAATGTATAGCATTTGAAAATGTATTTGATAACCTCAATCAAATCCTCAAATTCTGTTGAGCCCTTCTTCCAATCTTCTTCTCTTCCTCTCACTTTTCCTCCCCTTTCTCTCTCACGCATGCAGTCTCTCCCTCCGTCTCACTCTCTGACAGACACACACTGCCCCACCCATGATAATGAGTAAACCTCTTGCTGCCCCACCCAGTCCAGTCTGCCAAGTTACTGCCAACACCTAACACACACACACACAAAAACACACACACACAAGACCTACCCACAACTTGTACAAAGAAGTCATACAGTCCTCACACACTGACATATACACACACCACAAACACTACTCTTAAACTCAATACCACCACTCACCCATGTACACACTCACATACACACACTCACACACACACACACAGTTCAGTCTATTCTGATCTAATGTGATCATAGCCAATAAGCTCTGTGGCGCTGGCAAACCACAGTCTGTTCCTACCAGTCCATGACATCACTGTGAAGAGAAAAGCATTGTGCGCTGCTAAGTAGGAGGAGGAAACTGACTGACAGGTGGTAACCATGGGAACTGTCAGTTTGCCTCCCCGTTGCTGTAGCAACAGGAAAGTTACTCGATGTTGTGAGTTAAGTTCTAATTTTACAAAAGTTGGATTCAACATATGGGAAAGGAAATGATGTCAGTGGATCATACGCACATGGACAAAAGCTCAGATATGATATGAACAAGCGCAAGAATGTGGGGGCGCTCGTACACACTTAGCTCGCCGATCTGCATAAGTGCTTTAAATATGAGGAAGAATTAGAGATCTCATTGTAGCTGTTCCCAGCATGAAGTCTAATCCTCACATCTGATTCAAAGGAAACGAAGATGAAGGCCTATTAATAGAAGCACTTTGACAGCTAATGCTCTCAGCAGGTAGGATCTGGCTTTAGAGATCTAGCTACAAAGGCCTTCTTTCAGGGAGTCAGAGCTCAAAGCTTAAATCAGGGTGTAAATGAGACAAAGGAGAACGATTTGGCTGAAGGAGAGAATGAGGTGAATGTGAGAAGTAGAGGGTGGGCACTTTTTCTGACTTACCCGTAGAAGGGATTGGGACTCCTCTTTAGCGGCTCCTCCCTTCTCCTGTCCTCCTCCTCCACTCCCTCCTCCTCCTCCACTCCCTCCTCCTCCTCCTCCTCCTCCCCCTGTGAACTGTGGGTGCATCCGGCTCTGTTTCTCCCCTCCACCTGCGCCTGCAGTGGCTCCTCCTGGCCTTCCTCCTCCATACAGCCTGGCATCTCCCAAAAGTGACTTGGTATCTCCCAAAAATGACTTGGTGTCTCCCAGGTAAACCATGCTAGGCGAAGTCACGCCTCTTTTCTGCTGCGAAGCCTCATGATTGGCTGAAACAAACGACAGTGAGAGGGGGGAGGAGAACAGAGAGGGGCTCCCACCTCCTGCTCCTCTGTCAGGTCCCATTCGCTCCTTAGGCACCCAGAGTAACCCGTGGGCCTGCTCACCTCCTCTCTCTCCCAGTCCTCTCGTCTCCCCGAGCACCCAGCCTTTCTCCCGCTCTCTTTCTTTCTCCTCACCTCCTTCACTTTTTACCACCCGTCCTGCCTCTTCTCGGCCTCCTTCGGCCAATCGTCCCTCAGGTGGTGCAAGGGAGTAAAGGAGGCGAAGATCCCCTTTGCTTTCCTCTTTAATGGCTAAGGTAGAGGGAGCTGAGCAACCATTGGCTAGGAGTGTTAACGAAGGCGTGAGTGAGGTGGGTAAGGAAGTCAATGACGAGTCATGGCAGTGGGCCGAGTTAAAATGGTCGAGGAGGGCTGACGAATCAGGAGCCGTGAAATCACAGCGTCGACAACGGCAACACGCGTGGACACGCCTGCAGAGAGAGAGAGAAAAGCTGAGTGAATGATCAACAAATAAATAAAAACTTTAATTCAGATCAGCATAATTCCACACATATACATAAATGGTGTTTTTGTAGGTTTTTCAACAGTTGAAAAATAGATGTTATTAGGAGTTATCTTTAATTCAACAGTGAGTGAGAAGTCATCACGGTAACACACCTTTTTTTGTTACTTCACAAATGAATTAACATTTAACTACATTATTTTGTCTGACCTTTCAATCGATTACAATTGTAAAAAGCATTCTAATAGCTTTTAATGCGCTGTATATGAAAGACATTCCAAAAATGTTTGCAATCGATCACATTTGGACGAAAAAAAAATCCACTTTCCTCCAACCACTCAGGTAGTTTCACAGAGCTGCGGCCAAAAAGTGACTCAGTGTTCCACTATATCACTATGAATTAGGACAAAACTACGATGAATGGAAATGAATCTGAATGACAAGAAATGAATCACCCATCAACAAACCACCATCACTTCCTGTTGGCAAGGCTCTGACTGAACAGCTATACACTTGATGGACAAGATCAGGGTTTTTCCTGGCTCAAAAAACTGTTTTGATGCTTCCTGTGCGGGGGAATAATCAATGGGCAATCGATAACAAGAACTTGGACTCCTGCATGTGGCGTCTGTAGGTGGGCACATTATGCGCAACTTCTACATTTTCAGGGCTTATAGGTAAAAAGTAAAACCTGTCAAATATACATATACATTTGTGAGTATATATACTGTATACACACACACACACACATATATATACATACTTATAGTACAATACCATTTTATATTTTGTGTCTACTAATATAATCAAATTAGTCGAATTTATCGATTATGCTGAAAGTACACTTTGAACAAAAAAAATTCCAACATGTCCTTATTATTTTAGTTTAGACAGAAGTAGGAGTCCATTTGGAGCATTGTTTTGTGCATGTTTGACTCAAAGTAGGATGAAAATGTTTCCACTTATTTAACTCACATCTCATCCAAAGCAGCAATTTGCTCGACACTACTGTTGTCTTCGCTTGAGTTTTTCTGAACAGTGACTTCTCATTACTGCCATCCTGCTATGGGAGTGTTTTATAACACTGGAATGTAATCATTCAAAAGATTTCATTGCAAACATCTAAGGACTATGAAATTGTCATTTTTCTGTTCCAGCCCTGCTCATGCATATGGATTCGTCATGAGAATCTGCCAAAACAATTCTCCATGCAGGAAAACACATAAATGAAACTTGAATGGACCAGTGTGTATTTTAAGAGAGGATCTGTTGGCAAAAATGGAAAATGATATATAATTTTAATTTTTTCATTAGTAAATAATCAGCTACATGTCTATTAGCCCAGAACAGACAAACCAAACACTGGCCTTTTAGTGGCCGCTTAAATGTAGTAATGCAAATGGACTTCAAGGCCACTGCAGAGGGTGTCTAACAGTTTTGTCCGACATGTTTTTTGCTAAATTTAGATAAAATTGTAATGACATGTAGGTTCAATCAATGAAATGTATACGTTTAAAATAAATGCGTGCTGATTTGTGCCTTTTTCTGTTGCCTCAGTTTCTCTGTATACATTATTTACTGTTCTGTCCCTATGTTGCCCTTTATCCAGTGCTGAAGCAAACAAACTTCCTAGGTAATGACAGATTCAAGTTGAGGCTTTAAAAAGCATCTTGATAAGATCAACCTAGTCAAGGTATTTGTAGAAATTTGTGAAATGTGTGTGAGTAAAGTACACCTTGTACCTAATGGACTTAAATGTCTCCAGATGCTGAACAAAGACACAGTGGCCTCTCTGTTTGTCATCACCATACACATGCAAGCACACACACTATGTATGTACATGGCCTGGTGCCCTCTTTTACTTGCCCTTTCACTGGTACTCACTCTCACACACACAAACATACACATGATAAATAATAAAAATCATATATATATATATTCATAAATATATATATATATATATATATATATATATATATATAAATCCTACATTCCACACAAGCAATGGTCCAATCCAACTTCACCCTGTCAACCGCTTTGTGTTTCTTGCATACATTAAATTAAAATGTAAAATGGGACATGACATCAAGTATTAGAAATACAAATTAAGAAACAGTCTAAAAGCATTACTTTTAGAGTTTTAAACTGTCCTTAAATAACGTGTTTCTTGTGTTCTTTATAAGTTACTTACACAATCATGAGTGGTAAGTAATAAGTAATCTACAAAATAAGAATGTGTCCAAGAAAATATTATATCCCCTAGATTAGAAATGTGTATGAATTAATGCTAATGTGTATGTCTGGTAAAATAATATAATTTTGCAGTAGTGGACTATGTAGTTTATGATAGCACACACTTAACTTGATCATGTTGTTAAAAAACATAGTTTCCTATTTGATTGTTTAGGCTTTAAATCTGCCTACAAAAGCCAACCGAAAACTATTTAATGCGATAGCAACAACCCTGCACATGCCACGCATGTTTAGCTTACGTATGTGCACCTTAAGTTGACAATCTAATAGGTCAGCATCAACTAAATGTCCATGTTAAGGGTCACAACCTCTGCAGTCTCTGAGGTCAACACACACCTGCATGTGTCACATCTACACACATACACAAACTAACCAAGTGCTAGTAATTACAGTGAGAGCAAGGCAGTATTTATTCAATACCAAAAGTTTTAAAAAAGAGTTTAGAAAGTGTAATAATGTTTTGAAGGCCAAACATTCTAAACCATCACAGGAAAGGCATGTGTTCTTGTGGGCTTGTGTCTGTACCTTACACACTTCAGTAGCTCAGTAAGGGTGTTTGTGTGTAGAAGTTGAAAGGGAGATTGATTAGTTTGCTTCACATGGTAACTTCTCTCCCCCGACACCTCAGGCCTTTGTTCCGAGCACCCTATAATTAAATCCTGAATTTTGTTGTCTGAAACTTGGTCTTGGAATCCTTTAGTGTTCAGGTGATTTTTACTGGTGGTGAGAAACTTTTTGGCTTTATTTCAGTTTTATTTGATTTTAACTCAGAGATTCAGAGCTAAGATTTTGTTAAGGACGTGAGTGGACTGTTGAATCCCCTCCACACTCTCCCATTCTGCCTCTTGCTTTGTCGCCTTTCTCTCACTTTCACCCTCGGTTTTTTGTCTTTCTTTCTCCTTGCCTCATACAATATATCGTCTTTTTTTTTCTTCCCTGTCTGTCTGTAACTCTTTTCCTTCACTCTCCATCTTCTTCTTTTCTCTGCTCTCACCATGAAATGAATCAAACCCTTAAATCTTTCATTGATTTGCAGCAGAAATCTGTATTAGATGGCTCTGTCAGACTGTCATTTTTTGTGTGTGTTTATGTGTGTGCCAGAAAGCAAGAACTTGTGTATGAGCATATATCAAGAAGCAATTCAGATCTGCAATCTAAATCAATACTTAGTCAAAAAGATTTCACACAATCCTGAGTTCCCTTTCAGCCTCACAGTCTGTATCCTGTCCCTACTTTCCCACTCCACCCCTCTCTTTTTCCCATCCCAACTCATAGCCTTCTCTATCATTTTCTGGCTATGACACTGTAAACTCATGTGTGTGTGGGCGTGAGTGTGGGCAACACATTGGCTCTGGAGTCTAGTCTGACCTTGTCAGGCTTTTAAAAGTCTGTGAAACTGAGCTTCTGACTTATTTACCATTAGACACATGCAGTCAAAAGAAAGCGTTTTACTGCTGAGCATCATATGAAAAATAAAACAGGTTCAAACTATCTTTAGTTTTTTGGTTATACACTGACAGGATGATCCTCTTTAGACAAAGATGCTCCAGGAAGGATAGTCAGTAAAAGTACCAGTTGCAGTCATAAATATAAGATAACACCTATTTTACAAATCAAAGTCTGTATACATGTCTTGGGGAGTATTACTGCAGAAGTAAAACAAGTTGTATAAAGCCTTTTGTGGCTCCAGAGGGAGCTGCAAGCAATTTAATTGCATCACTTGGGGAAAACTGAAACAAAAACATTGAAAAGGGAAAATATATCTGGCCTCTGTACCTGCTCTTCTTCTGTGCTTGAGGCTAGCTGCTCTAGGCTACATTTTCTGCTGCCATTATAACCCGACCTAATCTCTGACTGAAATATAGCCGTCAAGTTGCATTGTGCGTAACGTAGGCAGCAGGTTCTAGAAGGGAAGAATGTGTGGAATAAAAAAGAAATCTCGGGTTCTGCTGCATCAATTTTCATGCTTAAAGAAAACTGTCCATATCCAGTCTGGCGTTTATACAGGAGCAGTGCTAAATCGGTAGTGATGTATTTTCAGAGTTTCATGTCGCAGAGTTGATTCCAAGATTAGATTAAGCCATAGATAGCTCAGCAGGTAAGGGAACCTGGTGCTGATCTTCTGGTGAACAGAAAGTGAGAGCCTCATTTACAACTTCTGATAAGTTTCAAACTGTCAGTATTTGAAATGTACACAATTCTAGCACTGACAAAAGGCAATGTCATAAATCACAGAATGAAATGGGCAAAAAAATGTGTGATGGTATCCACAGGCTGAAATACTGCAAACAGAAACAAAACTATTATAGATCTGGAGAGGGGAAATAATCGAAAATTGGTATCTCAATTCAGTATAGATATAGTAAAATACTGAAAAACAACAAATCCGTGAATATCTATGAGTAAAACCTGGGGGAAAAAACATAATTTGGAATTATATAAAATACCAATAATAGTATTATATTTATGTTTTCCAATCCCATGTCTCTTACCTGTAGTGTCTGAAAATCTCTTCTTCCACTTCTGTGATAAAGTGACACTTTGTACAAGAGTACTCCTTCTCTTCTCCTCTCCCTCCTTCCTTGTCGCCCCCGACATCTTCTTCAGCCTTGACATGTGGGGATGCCCCCTTCAGGTTGATCAGGGTGTGGCAGCTCTCGTAATGCTGGAGCAACACGTCGATGTCGGTGGTGGCAAACGCACACTGATCACACAAGTGGGTGACACCTGGATAAAAAAAAAACAGGACCCAAGAGAAAACAGAGACAAAGGATGAAGATGATGACTCTATTGGTGGAATCTTTGGAATATTGGGTTGCAGATTAGAATTTTCGTTTAGGGTTCGTTTAGCATGAAACACTTGAAATAACTAAAGGATAAGTTCAAAAATAAAGTAGAAAGAAAGTGAGGTCAAATAAAAATTTCTGCTAAAAAGTTAGCAATGATTGAGAGTCAGAACTAAACATGTCAGATATATGTATCTCACACTGCACTGTAACTTTTATTCATGTACCTTTGTTATTCATAATCTGTGCTTTTAAATGAGTGTTTTTAAATGCCATTTTATAATATGTTTCTTAATGCTCTTAATGTCTTTCATTTTTGTAAAGCACTTTGAATTGCCTTGCGTTGAAAGGTGCTCTATAAATAAACTTGCCTTTCCTATTGACTTGCAAAAAAAGACAAAACATGCCCGATAATGTATGCCTTTGATTACCTTGTGTGACGACAGGATGTGCAGGGTTAGAGAGGTGAGAACTTGATCCGGAAATCACACCAGAGTCACCCCGAGGATAAGGAGGGGTCATGCTGGGGGAGGTGGAGGTGGCAGGTTTTGATCCCACGCTGTCCTGCTGCTTGGTGGACGTAGAAAACTTGGAGCAGCACTTAGGGCAGGTGGGTTTCCGACAGGCAAAGGGGTGAGACACCTATTGATGACACGATGTTTAGTGAGAAGTAGCATGGAACTTTGCATGTTTTAGTGACTGATAAAACTGTGTACGAGGTGAATTTTGACTATGTTTACTCTTGTTGTGATGGGATTGTGTTTTACACAGGTGATGTCAGAGGGGACCAGTATGAATGTGCATCATTAACTGAATGATGCCACCCCCAATTTTGGCTGTTAACCATCCTTTTTGCATTTTTAACAGCTGCAGCAGCCCTCGTTTTGGCAGCTGGCACAAAGGAGGGTGTGGAGTGTGTGTAGGTGGATTGGGGGGATTTTAACTAGGCTGCAAATTGGAACAATTAACTTTTACACTTGTTCATATATTACAGTTTATTTTCTTGTGCTTACAGAACAGCTCAATTCTAATTGCCAAGCAAACACCAATACACCGAGCAAATAAACATTTGAATATTTGATTAATCTCACCTCCCCTAGGTGCTTCTGGGGCTGACAGAGGCCCTGTGGACAGTACATGCAATGCTGAATGCAGCAGCGGTGGATGGAGTGATTGTGCTGGTAGTGCAGTAGTAACGGTGCTACTACGATCACATCAGCACTGTGGGCCATCGAGTACCGGAAATCACACAACTGACAGTTATAACTGGTCACGACTGCTTCTGAATCACTGCTGTTTGTGTCTCCTAGGAGCAGAAAACAGAGCAAAGGTCTGTTAAACAAAACTGTGTTTAGGAAGAAAAACAAGAGCCAGGAAACAAGCAGAGGCAAGTCGTGTCAAGCACTATAATCAATAAAAAGCAAGGGTCAAGTGTTATTGTAGTGCTTCTAACAGCAAATACTGTAACTACAAGTCAGTCTCGAGGAAGAGCATCATAAAAATTAACAATCATCAGACAGCTATTTCTTACACATGATCATTAATCTTATTCTCCATTAATGTAGACACTTTCTACTGAAAAACACGTGAAGCAATTTACAACCACATTTCACTTTCTCGTGTTTCATTACCTTGGCTCGTGCCGGAAGGGTTGGATGATAGATCTTTGCGGCTTTTGGAGGACACGTGGCCTCTCTCTCCTCCTTCTCTCCTCCCTCCTCTGTCCACCCCCCCAGGGTTAGAGTTACTGGGGCTCATCGTCCCTCCCGTGCTAATTCTGTGTCTTTGTTCATAGTGCTCTAACAGCTTCTCTGAGCCTCCTGACCACTCACAACTCCAGCTACAGAATTTACACCAATAATACGTCTGCACAGCATCGTGACCCGGTTCCCCTGTCCAGCTCGACGAATCAGAACACGCCCTGACTGGGATGTAGTACCCGGCCAAGGAATCGTCTTCCGCTCTCACTGCGACTCGCTCGGCTCCGTCCAAGATTTGACTCCTCCCCTTCCCCTGGTTGTCGTGCGTTGCCAGGTTATTGGAGGCCAGCAGGGGAGTGGTTGGCGGAGTTTTAACTTTGTTTGGATGCGAGGACACAAAATGTTGTTCAAGTTCTAAGGAATTACTGCCCATGTAGGTGAAGTTGCAGAACTTGCAGCGAAAGTACTTTGTGTTCCCCTGGCAGTCAGAGGTCTTTCGGCCAATCCCAATTAGCGTGCCACCTAGCGTCACCTGTTGACAGGCAGAAAAAAGAAAACTGTAACATCTGGATAAAAATCATATTTATCATACAGACATACTACTTGAATTTCCAAAACATGACTTGGCAACACCGCCATTACCACCAAATAATACATTCATCAATGTCATTTCTAAATCCTGGGCAGTATATTTTGGAGAGACGTGTGAAATGAGCTCACAACAAAGGTAATCCATCATTTTCTACATGTCACTGTAGATAATTAAAGGCTGCTCAAACCAACTGACCAATAACAAATCTATCAGGCTCTACTGTAGTATCGGGCCAAGATTTTTGCATTACTGAGCGAGCAACCTGACACTCGTCTGTTTTTTATTAGGTTAGCCCCTTGACTGTAGGAGATATATTGTGCTGCTGACTATACTGGTGAGCAGGCATGCTGGCGAGTCTTACACTGACATTAGACGTAAGACTTTAGTATATGGATTTGTATCTTTACAGATCTTTGATTTAATGCTGACTATTGGCAGTCTTGTAATGGAGGTTTGGCAAGAACAAAATGCAACCGGTAAGCTTCATTTTAGGTGAGCGAGGACATATGGTTATATCATTTTTTTCATTAAGCTTGATACTTCAAGTGCAAATGTCGTTTTGGTTATTATCTCAATTATTACATTATTGCGTACACTTTCTTTTCATGCTCTTCATTATGAACCACATTAATGTACTTTCAAAATGAACCTTCTATTATTCATTTGTTCTTGCCATCCAGGTCATCATTTGTACTCATCTGAAAAATAACACTGAGGAAATTATTCTTTCTCCCTTTTCATATTTAAAACCTGATTATTTAAACTCTCACTGTTTTTTTTATGGACAAGGAGCATGAGCAGGAAATAATAATAACTAACAGCTATTGCCTGAGCTCGTATACAGTCATTAAAGCATGTAGATAAAAAGAAAGCCACTAAAGACAGAGTAAGATGGCGAGGAATATTTTTCTTTTTAGATCATGCGGCAAAAAGAGCAAAATAAGTATTGCTTAATATGTGTTTGAACATTTCAGCTTTATTAAGGGAATACATTCAGAAGGCTAAATGAGAGCTATTACTGTGTGTGATCTCATAAAAGCAATCATCCAATCATCATGTCCCACAGACCCTGCCTTGGCAATTAGTGAACAGCCAAACATCAAGTAATTATAGCAAGCCAGACTGGACAGAAAGACACAAAGGGAAACATGAGAGGGAGAGGGAAGGACATAGAGAGAAACAAAGATACGTTGAAAGAAAAGTGGAGGAACAGAGAGGTGGAGTAAGAAGTAGTGGGCAAAGAAAAGAGGGAGAAGGTGAAGGAAAGACAAAGACAAATGATGAGAGAGACTACTGGAGAACAGAGATAGAAAAAGAAAGTTAAACGTGTCTGACAGCTGTTTCATTACACTGCCTTACAGTCGATTATAAGTACTGGTTTCAAAGCCTTTCTGTCTGTCTCTTCCACTCTCTTTTAACCTTTCCTCCTCCATCTCTCTTTCCTTCTCTCCCATATCCTTCTCCTCCCAGAGTCTCCTTTCCCGCAATGTCATTGGTTGACAGGGCATCTCGCCTTAGCAAATGACAACATGGAATTTTCCAAACGTGGGCGGGAGAGAGAAAAAGCAAGCGAGGGATGGAGAGAATAGAGACCCCTTTCATTCGTTTTTTTTCTTATACTTTCACTTTTTCTTCATAATGACGACTTAAGCCCACTGGATTTTCTATTTCTGAATTGGTGCGTGTGTGTGCTTGACTGCTGTGTGTATCTGCGTCCATTACGTGACTTACTGCCATTACAGACTTCTTTAAGTGAAATGAAACTCCATGACTATTCCTTATACGTGCACACATAAACACGCACGTTTGTTAGATCATCTTGTTTACATGTTTCAGACAAAACCCTACTGTTCACGCAACTGTAACGTCGTTAACGTTGACGCAATTTTTAAGTCTGAGGCAAAGTCTATTTTATGGTTATTTGGGAAGTTATATGTGAAATGGCTTATTAGCTGATGAGAAATGGGATATTATAACCTCTAAAAATCATGGAAAACAATTATGAGGCTGCAATATATGTACAGAACATATTGCATTTGTCATAAAACTTGAAATCAACTCGGTAAGTAAACGTATTCATTAAATTCGATGAGGCCAAAAATGCTTTGGGTAATTCTACCCATGGCTTCAATGATCTAAATCATTGAAGCCATGCATTTATCCACACATTGATTGTCAGATCTGTTTTGTCCAGACTGCAGGTGTGAATTTAATTTGACTTTTGAATGTGCTCTGATGGAGTATTATATAACAACGTACAAATTAAATAATCTTTTTAATATATGAAGGACATTTCTCTTGAAGGAAGTATGAATTCCTGTCATTATCCTGCTAAGCAGCTCCCAACGGATACCGGTCCTTGTTCAAATTCTTTACAAATTGAGTCCTGAATATGAGGGATTAGCGCAGGATATGCATTTATTAGCCATCATTTAAAACACTATGATGAATACGGTGCTTGTGTATGTACAAATGCATTGCCTCCAAGTGATTTGTGAAGCAGACGGTGAACCTGTTAGAGTGTGTGTGCCGGAGCACGGATGTACATGTCTGTGCAGCCCGTTGCCAGGTGCGCTATTTTCCTACCTTTCTGTGTCTGTCTGTCCATCTGTCAGTCTATAAAACTTTATAACGTGCACCACAATGCCTCTCTGTCCAAATCACACACACACTCTGTTACAAATCTGTTGCAGATTGTTCGACCCAATAAATTACTCAGTTCAGTTATGGGCCCAGATTCACAGATTTATTACAAGAAATGCTTATAGTGAATTGTTAACTCAATCAATGTGTCAAGTGTTTTGGATCAAAGTTTCTAACCCATACTGAGTTCTTTAAAGTGTTCTAATACAGTATGTCAAACTATATCATGCAGCAATGTGAGTGTTATTGCAATGTCTTTTAAAAGTTGGGTATTGTTCAAAAACAAGTAGAAACAGTCCAAGTAACTTTGATATCAATGAGAGGAATGCTACATATTCTGAATTTTTCTGTCACAGAACGGAAGGCATTTTTTTTGTAAATAATGAAAAGCAGATGCAAAGATGTTAAACAGATGCATTAGTACTGCATTGTATCTAAAGCTGTAGATCTTTCTGTGTTTTTCAAAGCTGGTCACTCTCACTGTTTGATATATATTTATGGACCCATCTCTGTTGCTATGACTCCAGTGGTATCTTATCTTTTGAATTGAATGTCCGTTTGGTATGCTTTGAAAGTGAACTTTAATGAAATGACCACACATTGTTTGCAGCCACTGTAAACATGGTCCTCTCACAGAAGAACATAGATATATTAAACTAAATCAACGTACAGCAAATGCCCCAACTGTACTGTACACTTTTCTAATAAGTCAGGCTTTTTATTGGACTGAGGAGAACAAGGATTTTACTCAACAAGCAAGTCTAAGTTCCATCCGTTGACTGCTTTACCCTCTTTCCAGTTAATTCAATGCCAAACAAGAAAAGTTGAGCCATTTTTAATAAGTAATTTCCTCTATGGTTTTTTGTTATCACTTTTCTTTTTACTTAGATTTTTCTTGTTACTTATTGTGGAGGTGGCTCTATTTCTGCTTGCTTTGTGTAGAGGTTTTGTGTTAATGGTACGCATGCATGTTTAGTGCGAGTGGGGGGAAAAAAAGGTGTGCAACATCACACATTTTAAATCTATTCATTTGTGCTTTTGACTGTGTGGAGTGCTTACCTGTATGTCATAGGTGCCATTCATCATAACAGCCCTGTGCTGTTGAATGTGCACATCTGGTCTCGTCTTCCCCAACTCTTTGGCTTGGATCCTCTGGCCCTGTCCTGCCTGTATAGTATCTGGGAGCAGAAACACAAGCAGGGGTCAGAGGTGTAGAAGAAGATAAACAGAGAGGGGTCAGACTGCCAGAGAGACACACAAATGTCAGGATATGTCTGATTTCTGGGAAGAAGGAAAACTTTAGATCAACAAGTTATTGTTGAAGACAACTGCAATCGGAGCATACTGAAAAAACAACTTAACAAAATCTAAATAAATAAAACGTTCCCCTACAATTTAAGAAAACTTGATCCAGCAGTGTATCCAGAATGTTTATATATGTACAGCTATTTCATGCAAATGTGGATATAAGAGCTGCAAATATAAAACACCATGGATACAAAGCAACTCAAGTGAAGACATAGAGCTGGAGTTACCTAGAGGTGTGTGTTGGGGGGCCATGTTGTGGAGGGCCAGGATGTGTGTGTCGAGGGCAGCATCCTGCCGTGTGCGGTTGTGCAGACCCAGGTGATACTTCCTAAAGTGCTTCACCAGGTCAGCGGGGTCGTTGCCATAGTAACCGTAACCGCACACGTTGCACTTGAAGTCCTGGAGTTTGGGCGAGGGGCTGGAGGACAGCGGAGGGGTGTCGGTTGTCGACTCCTCCTCTCCTTCCTGTCTGGGGAGGAGGAGGAGGTGGGGAGCGGAGAGATTGTCGGCCTCCCCTCTGTCTCTGTCGCTCCTCTCCCCCTCCTCTACCCCCTTCTCCCCATCCTCAGCCTCCGACTGGCTCTCGGGTCTGTCAGTCAGTGCCGCTCCCGCCTTTCTGGCTCTCCCCCCTCCCCTTCTCCTCCTCCCTCTCTCTTCATTGCTGTAGGGCTCGCCCACGGATGAAGGAGAGACGGACGAGGACACGCACTCGCTCTCCCCCTCCTCTTCCTCCTGCTCCTCATCTCCTCTGATCCGATCGGAGGACTCTGGTTCGGAGGGTCGGTTTATTCGTTCGGCCTCCGCTCCTACTCTCCCCTCCTCCTCTCCTTCCTCTTCCTCTTCTCCTGCTGGCCTCCTCCCCTCTTCTTCCTCCTCCTCCTCCTCACCTCCAACACTCCGGATAGGGGGATTCTTCTTCCTCACCATCTCTGAAAAATGAAAAGAGACAGAAAAAAAGTCAGTTTGATGTTTTGTTGGCATTGACTAAAGCATAAAGGCATTGTTTATGAATACAAGTTCTGCTTGAGATGAAAATATCGAGCAGATTTTCATAATCCCTTTAAATCAAGAAACTAAGAGATCCAAGGTGTCTGCACGACTCCGGAAATATAATATGGAGTACAGACACAAACGCAAGCAAATACAGTTTTTTGACAATGATGTATGTGTACAGAACAGCTTTGATTCAATTTACAAACTTCTTTGAATGCTAAAATCTGTGACAATCCTCAACCACAAACCTCGTCAAAGAAAAACAGTCCCGGCAAATCAGAAACATCTCAGCTGGGAGACATTTTTTTTTGTGTGTGGGGATGTTTGTCGCATCCTTTAAGTGAAACTTTTTTTGCCTTTTTATCCCGCGCTTAAACCAGGGAGTGAATCTTTTTTATCGTTATGGAAACCATCCGTGAGAATCTTCAACACATGACCACATCAAAACGCAAACCATATCAGAGGGACGGGAGAGGGAGGGGTGGTGGAGAGAGGGTGAGGCAGAAATGGGGGAGACAGGGAGATGAGAGCGAGACAGGGAGAGAGGCCAACAGACAACCACATCAAACCCCACACCCAATATCAGAAAGATGGATGAGCGAGGCGGCAGACTGCAATTCATCCCCTCCAGCACTCATTTCTCTTTCCTGCATCTCTGCCTTTCATTCATTTTCTGGCTCCCAAAATGTTCATTTTCTCATCTCTTCTGCGTCACCTCCTGTCCTTCATTTTCCCTGCTCGTCTTTATTCTCCTTTTGTCTGATTTCTCTATCATTTTAAATCCCATTACTCAGATTTTCTCTACATCAACCCGTCACCACCATTATAATCAGTGTAAAATACTTCTTCAAGCTAAAAAAAAAGCACTTACAAATGCATTTACCTTGCGTTTCAGTCCGTTATTTAAAATTCTCTAGTGCCCTCTTTCGCATGTCAGAATAACTGCGACAATAATTTCATCATTAAAATGTTTCTTTCTGTTGCTGCCATCTCCCCCCTCTGTTGTCCCTCTTCCCCCACTGTCTCTCCCCTCCCCTCCCTTATAATCACTATACAAAGCCATCAAATAACTAACCATGTGTTTTATGTTAAACCATAATGTTCCTTTTGTTTGAAAAGAGAACAATTGTGGTCGTTCTGTTCACAACAGAGTCATGACAGAGAGATACTGCGCGCGAGTGTGTGTGTGTGTGTGCGTGTGTGTGTGAGCAAGCATGTTTATTTGTGGTCATTCAGTTGATATTCAGTGGTAATCCCAGTCAACCCATTGACCCATAGGCTGGTGCTGTGTGTGTGTGTGTGTGTGTGTGTGTGTGTGTGTGTGTGTGTCCAAGTGAATGTGTGTGTTTGTTTGCTTGTGTGTGTGTTTGTTAATAAACACAGTGAAACCCAACATATGCCTGATAGACGCCAACAACTGATCACTTTTAGATCAATACAACATGAGGGGGAACGTGTGTGTGTGTGTGTGTGTGTGTGTGTGTGTGTGTGTGTGTGTGTGATGCATGTTTGATGATGTGTGTGGAATGAGATAGCATGCGTGCGACCCTGTGACTGCCTCTGTGTTAGTGTGAGAGATAAATGCTTGTTGTCCTTTACTGATAGCAGACTGCAAACAGTCAGAGCACATCGGAATCAAAACACTCACACTTCTAAAGAAAGAGAAGTACAAGGGAATGTAGTTGAAACAGATAATCACATAACAAACACATGGAGATGGACATAAACATATTGAAAGGACCCTGATTTAAAAACCCTGTGATGTAATCCAGTGAATTAGGAAGAAAAAGAGAAAATAAAACACACGAAAAAGAGCAGTGCTTTCTTTGTTGAATCCAATTTTCTCTATATAGCCTTTATAGTATTTTACCATTTTCTCTCTTTCCTTCTTTCTCTACCATACAACTATTAAAATAAAGCAATTTATGTCTGAAAGGGCCCACGCCTAGACCAGCCCTGGCACACTCTCTCTCTGTGTGTGTGTGTGTGTGTGTGTGTGTGTGTGTGTGTGTGTGTGTGTGTGTGTGTGTGTGTGTGTGTGTGTGTGTGTGTGTGTGTGTGTGTGTGTGTGTGTGTGTGTGTGTGTGTGTGTGTGTGTGTGTGTGTGTGTGTGTGTGAGCAGAGGAAAATCTCATCTGATGTTCACCACACCCAGTCAGAATTCATCATTCACTCACACACACACACACACACAGTGGAAAACTACAGATCGTTGTGGTAAAGCAATGAAGGCGAAATCCCGACCTAAGAAGCCCTGACTGACCTAACTGTGTTTCCATCGGCCCCATATGATTTCAGTGATGACTCAAAAAGTTTCATCGAAGCGCTAATCAAAACACGATGAACTATTTTAGTTAACAGAACAGGAAGGGAATTAGTAAGAGTGACATTGCCTTCTATCATTTATTGACATTGGCATCAAAAGTACATTTGCATATGTCTGCCAAGCTCCAGGATGTCGGAAAGAGGAAGAGGTGTGTGTTAAAAGACTGTGCCATATGTGCCTGTGCCTGTGCGCGTGCGCGTGTGTGTGTGTGTGTGTGTGTGTGTGTGTGTGTGTGTGTGTGTGTGTGTGTGTGTGTGTGTGTGTGTGTGTGTGTGTGGGGCAGTACAGCCTTTGTCTGCTTCAGGCTGTATACACAGACTGGAACCATTACTATCAACTACAATTAGGTATAACCCACCACAACATACCACATAACAACTACTGCTACTCGCTACAATTAGACCCTATACACCACAATGGCCTCAACACCACAGAGAGGATAAATGTGACAGTTAATCATTTCCATCAAGTACAATTAGTCCCGATGCAAGTGAGGCTTTTATCTGAAATTGCCAATAATCACCTCAAGACATCCACTGAAGGAGTAACTGAGGGGAGTGGGATGTTTCTGTCAGTCAGATATCTGAACAAGGTAAGGGAACCATTTTGGAGAGTGTCATCTGTTAAAAGGTTATTTATTGCCGTTTGGTAAATTAGTTGCACTGCAATTAATCCCTCCAACAAGATACGAAAACAACCAAAACTAAAATAAAAACCTCACTGATACTCAGTTTCCATAACTTGTAAAAAAATAAGGGAAAAAAAGTATAATATTAAAAAGCTGTAACAAAAATGTTTTGGACATAATTGTATGATACATCAATCCAACAAATAGGACAACAAATAAATAGTGGGCTTTAATTCTCTATCCAATGAGTAATCACCATAAAGGAAAATTGATGGTAAACATCTACCATCATTTGCCATGCAATAAAAAAGGGTCTTTGTGTTTCATGTAACATTGGAGTTGTGTGAATGTTATGCAACGCTGATACAACCACATCATGTTCAGGATTATCACATAGCACCAGAAGAACACTCAAATTAATGTAACTCATGAGAAATCAAAGAAAGCCTTTTTCATTCAGAGCCAAAGTTAGATCTCACTAATGGAAGAAATAGATTACCCGTACATTTCAACTGTCATCATCCAGTGACTCCAAGCTGATTCTCTAAATGCATATTATGGAGTCAGTGTAATGGATGGGCTTGATACCCTATCTTCACACAGTCACATATTTCTGCTGCCTTCAGATAGCTCTGCTCGTCCCTTTCCCGTGGAACAGCTGTAGTTGGCATCTCCATCTTTCATAAACAAAGGATTAATGTGCAACATATGAAGAAATAACGCTGAAGGCAAGGTCTCGTTACACAGAGATCTCTCTCAAGCTTTTCTTTATTTTTCTCAATCTGCGTCATTCTGTCTCTTCTTATTATAGTCTAAAATCTTTGTGTCTACATTTCCTGTGTCCTTACTTGTTCTTGTGCTGCCATCTCTGTCCATGTGATTCAATGTTAGTTGATATATGTAGGGTACACTGAGGAGATTGTATGTTTACCAGAGGATAGAAGGGAAAAGGGAGGAAGAAGGTAAGGATTTTTAATTAAAAGGAAAAGCAAAGATGGTAAATGGAAGGAGGACACGAGCTTCAAGAGGAGGAGACAGTAAAGAGAATATTCTTTCTTCATTTAAAAAGAAAAAAAGAGAGATTGTCTGGGGAAATGGGTAGATAGAAATTGGAGCAAAGGATAGAAAAAAGGCAGGAAGCAAAAAGCAGATGAGCTCGACATACTAATAAGCATCCCCAAAAGGTACCACTATTATAATATCTACTTTAAAACTTCCCCTAATCTCCAAAGTGAGTAAACGTTACAGCACAATGCTTTTGATATACATCCTATTCTCATCCTTCAAAGTTACTCAAGAAAAAACAAAAACCTTTGAACACATTTTGGGAGTATTCTGTCCGTAGTATCACAATGGGTTTGTGTGTCAGGTCAGCTGGTTGCATCTGAAACCCACTGTGAAGCTTCCTGGTTCAATTTAACTAATAGAATATTTATTCCCAAAAGGTCATCTTTTAATTGAATTTTGTATAAGGTGATAGAAAACTGTGGTGAGTAAGAATGTGTGGACATGTGGGGGCGAGCTGTCCGGGCCAAATGGCACACTGAATAAATGACAGATTCACCAGGAGTGAGAAATAATTTCATTAGGTGGATTAATATGAGAGCAACCTGACTTAATAACATATTCCTACTTGCTCCTTACCATCGCACTAAAGATAAGGTTGGATATGTGAGCAGAAAGTTAATGATCAAAGAATATGCTCTATAAAAACTGCAAAATTAAAAGAAAATGTCCATCACAACTTAAAAATGTTTAGTTTGCACTTCAGACAATAAGATGCATACATTTCTTGCAGATTAATTTATTTTACAGATAAATTAAATCAACAGATAATTTTACCAATATTGTCAAATAAGGAAGGACATTTCTGAATGTCGATTGTTACACAATTGAATAGGTTAAGGTTTTTGTTTGCTGTCCATGCTTAAATATTGTTTTTCTACCTTAAATAAATACCATAGCTGTCAAATTGCTAAATC